TGAAGTGCATCAGTAATTTAGTCTTAGTGATCTAGTTGTTCTGAAAAAGCCTCAAAGGTTTATTAGAAAACATTAGCAAAACAAACATCATAAAGACCAAGGACCAAAGCAAATGGGTCAAACAGAAAGTTGTGGAGAAGTTGCCACACTTTTCATATTGTTTTATCTACAAAACATTTGAAAAGCTATGTATCCCTTTTTTTCTTTTTCAATTTTGTTGTAACACAATTACAGTGTATTTATGTTGGTTTAGTACAGAAATATCCCAAAGCCAATGCAGTAAATTTTGTAGTTATTACTTGAAAAAAAAAGTGGAACATTAAATGGTTATACTCTTGCAAGGCAATTCAAATTTTTATACATTTCTTGTTTAGAAAATCAGAGATCTAAAGTGCATTAGATATTAGTGCTGTCCTTGAGATTCTTGAAAATGTAATGTTAATTTAATCTTAGAGTCATTTTTTGATAATCACTAAACGGTTTTGTGCTTCGACAGGTTGTAAAAAGCAAAGCTAGCCATTTTTGTTGAAGCGACTAGCTACGGCATTTTAATTAAAACTCATACAAAATACTATTCATTGTGGTGCGAGAAGTAGCACGCAGATAATCTCAATGAATGTATGAGCAGGTAATTTTACTGTGTAATTTTGTAGCATTACTTTCCCCAGCAAGAGCGATACTGATCTCGATTAAATACTGAAAAATGTGATCTAATCAGCAATTAATCTTCCTTAAGCTGGTGGGCTTAATTTAAAAAAAAAAAAAAACGGTGCACAGAAATAAAGATGACCAATTTGCTTTTACTCGGTGCTAGTGGGAAAAGATAAAGTGCAGGCTATTAAAACCATGAATACTTGTAAGAAAAAAAAAGAGAACAAGGGTTGCTTTTTATTAGATGAAAACTTTGTACCTTTTTGTTGTTACATTCAGTTGCCGCATCACTTATTTCCTATTAATGTGAATTTATAGAATAAAATAGGAAGTAAGACTGAACTAGAACAGAAACTTCTTTCATTAATATGAAAACAAAACCCCTGAGTAAAAAATAAATGAAGCCGGCTTCATGCATTATCATATTTTAAGCTAATAAAGCCATGGATCAGAATTATTATGCTCCGAAATGTGCACCGTTTATCACTTTGTAACAGAGTTGTCCTCCTCTGCTGCACTGACCCTCCTCTCTTCCATCACTTCAGCATCTCTCTCTTGTCTCGTCTTCTTTACCCTCGCCTCCCAATTTGACCTCTTATTTTTTTCTCTCCTGTCTTTTGGCCATCTGGTCATCCCCCAAAGCACACATCCTCTTCAGGCCTGACAGTCTTTCTCTCCACCTGAGTGCCTCTCACTTTTCTTCCTCTCTCAGATTGTTTCCCCCATAATATCGCTCGGCTCCCATCAGTGGAGCGCAGATTCACGCCGGACTTCGGCAGAAACAAAAATAAATAAATAAATAAAAAACTGAGCGGCGCGGTGTGGTGGAGCAGAAGGCACTGTGCAGAAATGCCCTGGCCTCAAGTTTCATCTCTTAGCAATTAAATAGGAATGAAATAAATGTTACGGTCCGGCTGGAAATGAAGGCAGCCGAGCTGCTCTCCAACTCTGAAGAAGTTATGTATCGGCTAATATGATTCCGGGAGCATCACCTGGAATTTCAATAAGGCTAATTTTATTTAGGTCGGACGACCATGTGCATGTAGACAAAGTCATTACAGAGGCTTGTTTTTGACTGAGTGGTAAACAACACACAACATATCCCTCTCATCTGCTCCTTCTCTTTTCTGTTCTCCTTAATCCTATTTTTTCCCCTTTTCTTTCTCTGCAGCTAAGTGTGGCTCTCCTCCCCCCTCCTCCTGCAGCAGGAAACCATGCATCCCATCTCCAGTTCACTGGTCAAACACACAGTGCCGCCCTCATTCCCTTCTATAATCAGGACACTCAGTAGCGTACGGGGATGTTACATTTCCAATGCATCACTTAAGATGGCTGACCTGGTGTGCCAGTTCAGAGGGAAATGTGACGTCTTCCAGGCACTCTGGGCTTATTCATGAAACAGATTACGCATTAAATAAAGGCATTCATTTCAAAAATGTATGTATAACTTTTCAGACTGGTGGTGATTGGGCCTCAATGCTCTCTCTGGCACAAAAGAGGCTTTGGTACTGGAGCCAGGAATGGTTAACATCAACGATGATCGTATGGCATTAGCTGTGTTTCTCGCCTGTGTCACAAAATCCACGTTCTCACTTTCCCGCTTTGGCTCAGCTCCTTCCTTTCTCACGTTTCCTCCATTTTCTGCCAACGTCTCAGTCTCTTTCTCCCTCTGGTCCGCCTCACTGCCGGTTTCTCCCACTCTCCCCCGCTGCTCTCATCTAACTCGCCTACATCAGGGCCCGCCATTGCTGCTCGGAACTGAAGGAGGAACGCTGTCACAAGGAGATCTCTTGTAAGTGCCCAAGGGGATTGCATCAGCTCTTGTCATACAGAGACATGAAGTGCTTCAAACTGTTAACTCAAATGGCAGACCCAGATTCAAGAAGTACTCAACGGCCGCAATGCCGTGAGATAAAGGCAAGCTGTTCCTAGTCCTGCTGAATCAACTTTGAATGATCTGATCCGCAAAAAAATCACACCAGTGCAAAGGCCAGGACAAAGTGTGGGAATGCTAAGAATAAAGAATAGCTTAGCTTTTATTATCTTGTACCCTTCTGGAACGTAGCAATTTGTTATTATGACGACACTTATATTTAGCATTGATTGAGTTAAGGTCAAATGAATTATGCCTTTGGATAAATGTCACACAATATTATAATTAAAAAGGTCTGGCAAAGCCGAGTTCTATCTTTGATTGCATAATCCATCTCTTTTACTTGCAAAGTCAAATATGTCCAGAAAGTAGTGTTACAGTATGGACGAGCACTGCAGAGCCTGTTAAATAAAGTCACACACTGTAATAACTTTACACATGGTGGTGGCAGCAACATGCTGTGGGGCAGTTCTGTAAGAAAACATGTTTATAATTTTAACAATCTTAAGTACGGTGGAGGACCTGTGATGCTGTGGCCCTGTTTGTCTTTCAAAATCCCTACTAACTCCTTCTAATTGCATAGTGACTTTATGTATTATGCTCAGCAGTGTTTGCGTATTTTATTTCTATATTTTTACTTATTTTTTTCTAGTTACACTAACTACTCTACGTAGAGCCAAATTTACAACATGCATATAAACACACAATGCACAGTCTGATCTTTGGGTTAAGCTTGCCCCAGATAGAGTTAGGATCAGGCAATCCAAAAATCCAAAAGTGTTGTGTTTAGGTCACTTTCTGATATGTATATATATATTATTTTTTTCGTCTTGCCTAAATTCCGACAATTAACGGTTAGAAATCGCTGTTCTTTCGACTTTTGGCAATAAACATAAAATCAAAGCCAGCAGATGTTTTGCAGGTGATCGCATCTAAAATTCACTTTGCTTTTCACAGAAGCTCCGACTCTGTACAAGAAACTCTGGATTTGACATCTGCCCCATGCTCAAGCTGCCAGGTTGTGAATTCCCAGCGCTCGGTGCCTCATCTGCTGTTTGGGTTGGAAAACAAGCACAAGCAAGTCACTGGTGTATTCACATCTGTGTCTGCATTTTTTTATTTTTTTTTATTTTGCATATATGCGAGTGCTTACCTGGTGACTGTATATTGGACAATAGAGTCTGACCTGGTGATGCTTTCAAGCTGCAGTTTCTTTGCCCAGAAAACATGAAGGAATAGTTACTGTCAAAGTTGAAACAAACTTGCAACGTACTTTGGGCAACTTCTACGTAATTGTGTGTCGTTTTTAGCAAAATTAACTTGTCATCAAAATAAATAAATAAAATAACATACATTTGTAGAAATCTGACAGCCAGAAAAGCTTTGAGATTGGCTTCTACTATCAACTATTGTGTTCATTTCTAAAGAAAGATTTATTTTAAATCTGTTTTTCACCTGTTGTTTGACTGAACGAAGAAAGGAAAGTACTTCTATCCATTACATGTAACATGAGAATCAAAAGAAGTACGAGGAGAGACAGGATTATAATATATTATAATCTCATGTTTTCAGGCATGTAAGTACAAATTTTCAACATCATCATCATTAATTGTTTGTGATAACATTTAATGTAAGTAGCTCTTGGCAGTGAGTATCAATAAAATGTAGAATAAAAATAAACAAAAACATTCTGTTGGTCCTTCTGCCCAAAGTTTGATTATTTTCTATATTTTAAAATGAGCTAAAACAAAATGAAGAAAGAAAAAAAAAACATAGTGTCATGCCAGAAACATCAAGACGCCTATTTAATTGAACTTAAAAAAAAAAAAAAAAAAAAAAAAAGTCTCATCTGGTGTTTTATCACTTTTCCAAAAGAAATGATGTGGAACAAATGCTCCTTTTATTTGAGTCGCTGTGGTCCTATAAGCAATCTGTTCAGTAAATGGTTCATGCTTGAATAAAGAAAAAGACAAACACTTGCACTTTTCCTTTAGGTGAATAATAAAATTTCCAGCATTAGGTCTGCCCACTGTCTGCGTGTCAAATCTTTCGTTTTCCCGATTAATGCCACGACACATCAAAAGTTTTCCCGCTTTGAGTTGCAAAATACAGAAAATGTGCCATGAATGTGAAATAGACCTGTGGAATTGAGACACAAAGGTCAGCCTATGTGCATGTATATCTCAACACACAAGACTTCATTTCCTATTCTCTTTCCTGCTTTGTGCCTCGCAGTCCTTCAGCCGTCAGCCTCCTTTGCCTCTCCATCTGCCATTTTGCCGGTACAGTCAGGTACAGGCGTCTGCTGAGCAATCCTCAAGGGGCTCTGTGACTCAAGTCCGTCTCCTTCAGACAGATATTTTCCCCTCTGTGGTCTTATAGTAATGCCTTTGTATAAAATGGCTAAAAACACTGCATGACACAGACAGCAAATAAAGAAAAAAAAAAAAGAAAGATGTTTGAATAAGGGTGCATCTCAAACATTTAAAAACACAAAACCACTCCAAAAGCGATGTGGTCGATCTGCAGAATAATCAGTTTGATAAGACTCCACTGGTACATTCTGCATGCCCCTATTCTCTGCATGCCATCTCCTTGACACATGCAATTAGGACTGTCTGTGTGAGGAGATAACAGACCTCACCCCTTCGGCCCTCGCTTTACCTCCGCCATGACACAAACAGAGATCCCCTCCTATTACAGAGTGCAAATAACCTTTTCTTCAGCAGGCTCATGCAGTCCACTATTTGCTGCAATGCAGAGGGGGAAAAAAAAAAAAGAGAGTGCTACTGAACTTGTCTCATCCCTTCAAAGTTGATCACCCTGCTCACCTGTCATCACAGTTTACACTGAGGATGGAGGCTAAACACTGACCTTTCCGGTTTTAGCGGTGTGCATTTTTAAGGAGGATTCAGCAGAGTATGAAACATGTAAGGCTTATGATAGTCTGTAATTGGATTTCCTGGAAAAGCTGGTGACAAAGTCCCTCACACACCACTAATCCTCCCAATTGCCACTGCAGGCGCAGAGCGTCCTCTTCTTTCTAGATGAATGTGGAGGAAGAGCAGGGAATGGTCCACGAAGTGAGGAAGAGCACAGACGAGGGCGAGGGATGCGGGTAGCGGCACAACTGCTTAAGGGCAGATACTTTTCTGAGTGTCGCAGGAGTCAGGCTAATCACCACCTATGAGGTGGGAGAGAAGTGATCAGAGGAAGCGGAGCGCCAAGGTCCACGAGAAAAGGCGAGGAGTGAGGCGAAGTTCAGCCGTGTCACGCTAAAACAGCAAACATTCAAACTGTTGCTGTCAGAAGTGTTGCTGGCCTCTGCCATCACAGCAGGCGGGGCAGATAAGCTGAGCTGAATCATAAGAGACAGTTCACCTTAAGGCTGCCTTTGAGAGTAAAAAGATGCAAGGGGAAACAAATCTCAGCCCCATCAAAGAGATTAAAGCAACAGCTTAACAAGATGACACTGAAATATTTGATTCAGCTGTAAGACTGTTGATCTGAGCGAAAGGTTCACGCTGGTATATTTTCTCTGCAATGTCCTGCACACAGCCGACTTGTTTTGAATCCAGTTCATCCAACAAGAAGAATAGCTGTCAGGTAAAAAAAAACAAACAAAAAAAAAAACAAACATTTGAAGCAATGGGACTGAGGAGAAAGAAAGAAGAAAGTAAATGCTGGAAAAACGTCAATAAATTGCTTAGTTTACTGACTTTCACTCCGAATTACAGGATCTAATACACACTAGTGCCATTTGTATATTTTGCTTCAGTCAAAGCTTCTCAATTTTTTCTTTTCTCCAGCAACAAGACAAACTTCAGTCTAAATTTGATACATGTTGAGAAATTGTTTAAGTAAATAATTGGCAGGCTGTGGACGTTATATTTTGATCTAATGAATCTGGATGCTTTCTTTCTAATCCAGTTTACAACATTTACAGAGAAAGAGAGAGACTGCATCGGCTGCTGCAGCTTCTTCTTTACTTTACTTGACCTACATCACCCAGAGAGCAGCTAAGCTGATCACAAAATGTGGAATTTGAAAAGACGTACAGGACTCACACATGCCACATTTTGCAAACTCGATTTTATAAACACTCAGATGTCAGGAAAGTTGTTTGTTTCTTCAGCAGAAAAGTTCAGCAACAGCTACTAGAATAAGACTGTCAAAGGATGGCAAAGGATATATGTCTGGAGATGCTCATGACATAAATTGTCACAGCAGCTGTCCTGCTGCACGACATTCGATAAAATTCAGACGTTGCCTGATATTTGTCACAGGGTGGCTTCCGACTTCACGGTGCTATTTACTGAACAATCAGCTCAACAGTTAATGGATAACGTTCAACTTTTTTCACTGCAGCTGTGAAGTATGACTCAAATTCACATCTAAAGCAATGTGTCTACTGCACAATTACATCAAATCAGGAAGAAGTATGTATCAATCCTGCCACTGAGAACATTCACATTAAAAAAAAAAAAAAGAAAGCTACATGTCACTGAGCAATTTTCAACCTAAATCCCGGTGACAAGGCTGCATTTTAAAACAGAAACCTTAGAGGACCGTTGTCTACCCCGCCATTTGTCGCTTTGTGACAAACCGCAGAATAAGTCAAAGAGGATGGTAGATGGGATCGCATGTTTAACCTTGAAGGCATCACTTAAACATTTCCCTTTTTTCTGCCTCGGCCTCAGCGCAGGCGTGGTTAAGTATGTAGAGTCCGACATCACTTTCCATCTTATTAGTGCCCTCGCTGAGACGGTGCGCTGTTCCTGAATGATAATGCTTTAGAAAGGAGGAGAGAGATTGAAATGGAAAACAGAGGACTTACATGGCCCTGTGACAAAGTGACTGAAATGTAACCTCTTCACATGCCACCACCTCCGATGGCACGCTCTTAAAGCAGATTTCATTCTTGCTTGTTAAGATTTTCTCAAAATAAATAAGTCGAAGTAAAACTTATATTAAAACCTATACAAACTCAGACATCTAACAGAATAAAATATTGTTGTGTTTTTGTTTGATTAGAGAATAAAATGATGAATTGCAGGTCACAAATGTGAAATAAACCTTACTGCTAATCACCGGCTCTTTGAATCCCTAAGATGTAACTTAAGAGGATTAGAGGTGTTTTTTTTTTTTTTTTTTATATCCGCTACCTTCAAACTAAAACATTGTTTTCTCAAAGCAATCTTTTTTTTTTCAAGCTATAATTACAACATTGGTATGTGGAATAATAGTAGTGGGTTGTTAATTGAACTCAGCAGCTCATAGACAAGAGATGCTCTAGAAACAAAGATGTGATTTACATCAATTAGGGGTCTATGGTGAAAAATAAGAGAAAATCCCTTTTTAGTTGTGAAATATGTTACTTTTATTGTCCCATCAATCTGTTTAGTTATTTTCACTGGCATAGAATAAGTGTTACCCTAACGATATCTTGCCAGGTTTGTCTGTGTAACGTTTGTGGGATTTAAACATGACCAAACCCTAACCCTTGTCAAATAAAGTGGAAATTGGATGTTAATTTGCAGTGTATAAAGTTGCACAAGTCATGTGTGCCACCAAGGTTCAAAATTAAATACTTTTTAACCAGTCAGTGTGCCACTAAGAGTTTTGATGCCACCATCATCTCAGCCTATTCAAGCGTTTGTAATACAGAGCTGAGTGAAACGTGGATTAAGTTACGTTCAGAAGTCAGATTAAAAATGTTTGTGAAGTGACGTTTCAGGCGGGTTTAAATTGCAACTTTTGGTTTTTGAAACACGCATGTTTGCATGCATGGCATCTCATGAAGAGAAATGTAACGGTGGACCATTATTTATTTAAAGTATTATATCTTCATTTGCTGTTATGTGCTGAATGATAGGTGAATGTCACGAAAAAAGCAGGTGTCCTAAAATCGAGTTGTAGTCTGGCTTACGAGAAAAACCTTTCCTATTTTCAACACGTTTGGAACAGAAAGAAACTGTATCAAACTACAGGCATGTTCTTGATGTGTCACTTAGGCTGGGATATTTAACATTTATCACATTGCCCTATTACAAATTCAGTCACAAACTAAAAATGTACAAGCCACAGCCCGGACATATGTTCTTAATATTCAGGAAATCAATTAACTTTGTGGGTGTTTATTATAAATGAATTATTTTCTATCATGGTACTGATGGAAAGAAATCTGCAAGGGACTAAGGTGCTGTGCAACATA